GCCGTACAATTAGATGAATTATGGAAGGGAAAAAGTGACGATCATCACCTGACTTGAAAGTTTTCAGTCAACAGCAGAACTCATTCAATATGTGAAAATTGATAACGATGTCACCAAGGTAGATATCTTCCCGCAAATCGAAGTGTGACTCCATCCGTACGTCCGAAGAAGGTTTTCCTGCGAAGGCAGATGCCTAGTAACACAATATTGTGATATTGAATCTGGCATTCAAAAAAATATGATTCTTGTACAGTTACATTGAGTCAGATCGAGTTGACCGAGATTGCATCCGGGAGTGTCTATGTCCTACCATGATAGTTTAGGCATTACCGCATCAATTTCGAGCACTTCCTTCGGGCCTCCTGTTTAAATTCATGAAATCTGACAAATGTGACTCAGTGTGATCAATTTGGGAACCGAGGCTCATGTAGGCTGTCGCCTTGAGCCCTAGAGCGGGCATTTCTGGTTCTTCAAGAGAAGCCGCGGTTGCGAAACCAATACATCTGGCGACGGCATATTCGAGTGTCGCAACCTTGAAGAAAGATCTTTTAGGGCACCGAAAACTTTCCTATCATGATAGTTAGAGAAGCGCCGTCATCAAGGGACAGGTACCCGGCCTGGCTCAATTCTATCCCCGAAGTTTTTCTGTATTAGTGTACGGTAGAGCATCCCCAAGGGGCTAACTTGCCTCAAGCAGATAAAAGAAAAGGTCCGAATTGCTAATAGATGATGCGCGGTCATTAAACCGCCGGTGTAATATTATTCCAGGTGTGATTGCGTTGTGGCACAGCCCCTTCCTTGTCTTCTTCTCGTCTAACGGAAGGCCCCACTTACCTAGGCAGCCTCACTCGTTTAATATATCTTCATCTCATCAAATGGTAAGCCATCACTATTCAAAACCTCAAAGGGGAAGAAATCCAATATTGACAAACGAGGCAACGCGGCGCATTGCACTTGCTCTCAGTTTGATTGCGACAGTGATCAGAATTTCACCATGATATTGATTCTGCCTTGACAGCGACGACGAGCATATTTCATCCGAAATGAGGAGTCCCAGATTGGCAGGAAGAATGCCCATGTTCAAGCGAACTCAGCTTGGTGACTCGATCTCCAAGTATGCTGGATTCTTCGTATATAAAGGCCGGTTTTCAGTCTTAATGTTTCTCGCCACTCTTCAAATACACTTTGAGAAGCTTCAAATTGCGAAAATTCTTCTGTATTGACTCAATCGTTGTCTTTCAAATCTTACCACATTATGTTGCTTCGTGCAATCTTCACAATCCTACTGGCATCATGTCATGTACATGCCAAAGCTGTCTTCGCTCACTTCTTGGTTCGTGCAACTAGTCCTTCTGAAATCTAACTCGCAACTAATATGCTCAATAGGTTGGGAATGTTGCATCATGGACCACAACAAATTGGATAGCAGATATCCAACTTGCCCAAGAAGCTCATATTGATGCTTTTGCGCTCAATGTGGGATACGGAGATAGCTCGATTCCCAATTCTTTGGCAAATGCTTTCCTTGCTGCACAAACTACGGGATTCAAGTTGTTTATCTCATTCGATTATACAGGTTTGATTTTTCTGACCCATCCTTCTACGTTCATGAGTGTACTAAATAAATGCTTCACTAGGTGGCACTGCTCCTTGGCCAGAAGCCAACGTTATTAGCCTTCTCAATACCTATAAATCAAGCTCTGCTTATTACAAATATCTCGGGAAGCTATTCGTATCAACTTTCGAAGGAGTTGATAATACTGCCGATTGGACTACTATCAAGGCACAAACTGGCTGCTTCCTAGTACCAAACTGGTCCTCGTTGGGGGCACAGGCGGCAGTTTCCCGTGGAACTGCGGATGGATTGTTCAGTTGGAATGCGTATGTTCACACCTTTGGTAATATTCAACTTATTACTGACTTTGATTAGATGGCCTTGGGGTAACGAGGATATGAATGCATATACTGATGCTTCTTACTTCGTGTCTTTGAACCAGACAGGCGTTCCAATGCCATATATGATGCCAGTTTCACCTGTCAGTATGACCCTTCTGATCACTATCATCATTACTAACTAGCTTTTATCATTCACTAACGTCGGGACTCTCTAGTGGTTCTACACAAACTTGCCAAATTACGACAAGAATTGGTTGTGGCGTGGGGATGATTTATGGTTCGAGTAAGATATCTCGCTACACCATCAGCCCTGTCCAATAGCTAACATAACTTTCAAATAGTCGTTGGCAAGAAATTTTGTCTATTGACCCTCAACCAGAATGGGTACAAATTATCACATGGAATGATTACGGAGAATCTCATTACATCGGTATGTTCTATTCATGATCCCCAAAGTTCCAATCCCCTAATTCACAATCTCAGGACCTCTTCACGAAGAAGAATATGCTTCAGTTTTCGATTCCATACATGGCGATGGTCCTTACAATTACGCCAATAGTATGACTCATGACGCATGGAGACAAACTCTGCCCTTTGTGATTGATACATACAAAAATGGCATTGCTACCGTTAAGCAAGAAGTCGTCACAGCTTGGTATCGACTTACTTCAAAAGACAACAGTGCATGTAGTGATGGTGACACGACAGGGAATACTGCCAATCAGCTTCAGATTGAATTTTACCCAACAGATGTTGTCCAAGATAAGATATTCTACTCTGCGGTGCTTGCTGAGGCTGGAACTGTAACTGTTACAGTTGGTGGTGTTGATTTAGGTAAGTTTTGATGGCCTTTGAAGAATGAAACATCCCGCATCATCAAGGACAAAAGGCTAATTCGGACCCATTCTCTCAATAGGCGCCACTTGGACAGACACCCCCTCTGACGCCGTCGGAATATACCATGGAAGCGTAGCCTTCGGCTCTCACACCGGAAATGTAATTGTCACAGTGCATACCCCATCTAGCGGTTCAATAATCTTCCAAGGAAATCCGATCGCTAGCGACTGTTCCACCTGGGATGGCTACACAAACTATAACGCATACACGGGCTTCCAAACCGGTAGTGCTGTAGCCGCTACTCCTGCACTTAACATGTCAGAACAAGTCTGCATTGCAGGATTTGGAGTGAATAATTTTGCAGGCCTTTGTTCTTTTGCTTGCGGATTGGGTTATTGTCCGGTATGTATCAGAGGAATCTCTTATAGCTTTGGCGAGAAAGGCTTTGAATGGTACTGATTGAGATGATAGTATACTGCATGCACATGCACAAATTATGGAGCTCAACCGACTCGTCCAACTGCGGCAAATACACCGGGCTACGGTACGATTGGATATCCTGCGCAAGGATTAACTTCGGAGTATCAAGGTCTTTGCTCTTTCAATTGCTTCTTTGGATATTGTCCGTAAGTGTAGCGCTCTTCTATCATCTCTTTAGACAACCCAGCCGTCCATAAATCACACTAACAAACCCTCCAGACCCGGCGCTTGCGGCACCACAAACTACGGCGTAGTTCCCGAAACCGTCTCCCCCTTCCTCCCTCCCGCCTGCGTTGGCGGAACCGGCGTCGACAATTTAGGCGGCTTATGCGGATATGCATGTCCCTACGGGTACTGTCCAATCCACAGCTGCACATGCACAGCCCAAGGAGTGCTTAATCCACCACTGCCTGTTATTGACGGAGCTGGGACTGCTGGCCCGGGCTTGGATGATGAGTTGTATGATGGTCTGTGCAATTTCGCTTGTAGTAGGGGGTATTGTCCGGGTGGGGCTTGTGAGTATGTTACGGCGAGTAATGGGTTGTTTAAAAATGCGACGGGGATTGTGAATGGAGGGTTTAGGAATGCGACGGGGGTTTCTAATGGTACGGTTGTGAGTGGTAGGAGATAGTCTTGGTGGAGGAGACAGATTATGAGAGGGGTTCAAGAGTTGGATGTCAAAGTCACTGGTACTGGGACTCGGGAGCTGGAGTAGGATATTATGCTAGGGGTTTGGAATAGTGGAAGACTGGATTTGGAAAGGGTTTCTTTGGTAACGTGTAAAGGTTAGGATTTGGATATTGGGAAGATTAGCTTATTATTTGAATCAATCACTGCGAGTTTCTGTATCTGATTGGTTCCTACTTTCATGTCTACTCGGATGAATCATTACTTGAACCAGGCAATTCAAAACTCGTTTCAGTTTTGCATTTTGATTTAGGTTATTGGTTTATGTTGTATGAGCTCAACTTGGGGGCTGAGCATATAATCTTACATATGTTGTTCAGACAGAGAGGTACAAGGGATTGGGTGATGTACCTCTCGTACCTCTGGCATACTTATTGAACTCTTGTCAGAGCCATACGTTCACATACATACGCTGAATTTCCAATGAATGAAGCCTAAGTTAGGCTGCCCAAGAACATTGCGTACTCATAGGTGGTTTGTAAGTACTCCGCTCTGCGGGCCATCCATCAGAGATCTTCCCCGCGTTGCGAATCATCCATCCCCTGAGGTGCCTCGGGTACCAACTCAGAGTTCCTGGGTGGTCCGTGCAATATATATCCCTTGAATGATAGAGCCTAAATGGACAAAATGCCTATTTCTAAGCTTTTTCAAAGCCGATATCTTTGAAGGGCTATCTGATAATATGTATTTGACTTCTTTATATCTGAGAAGATAAAATTGATAAAAATTTATCCAAAGAACCATAGATTCGAATTTCAATCTCAAATAGTACGAATCTATCTTTTGATTGCAGGATGAAAGCTGAAAGCTGAAAGTTGCTCCAAAATTCAGTGATTCTAGCGATCTAGTTGGTCAATATGGTCCTTGTCAAGCGAGGAGTCCTGAGTTGGCACTTCAGGGTATAGATAATCGGCAAATAGGTAGCCTACACATGATCTATATATATTAGTACAACTTTGCAACGAGAATTACTACAAATCTTTGCTTTAATTTATCGTTGTTGGGTTTTAAGTCATCGCGTAAATCAGCAAACAGAGAGAGCTGATTCTATACTCTGCCTTTATTTTAAAAAAGCTTCCTTTTCTGTTGAACACGAGAAAATGAAGAATTTGGAGCCTCACAGGCATACGCGTCTTCAATCTCCTCGATCTATTCGTATCCTCAAGCTTCTTCCTTCAGTAAAGCAAAATGCGCCAATTCAATGTCGTCTTGCAGAACTCGACATCGATAACTATACATCTAATGACTATAAGACTCCTGGACCTTACGAAGCTCTCTCGTATGTTTGGGGCTCGAGATATGGTTCGATACCCATCGAATGTGATGGCAAGTCTCTTCTCGTGACAGAGAATTGTCATAATGCCCTAATCCGCCTACGACGTCGGTTTCGGAGTCGAGCTCTCTGGATTGATTCTATTTGTATCGATCAGGAGAAAAGTAAACCATCGGAAGAAGAGCGTATTTCACAAATACAACTTATGGGTGAAGTTTATCGCATAGCCAAATGTGTCATAGTTTGGCTGGGACAGTGCTCAGTCTCGACGAAGGAGACGTTGAGGATACTGCGGGTAGCCACAACATTGGTCTTGATAGCTAACAGAACAAGAAATTATTCCGATAATAAGTGGTTAGAAGAAATGCTATGGATCCTCGTCACCCATTTGCAAGGTGATAGTCATTCTCATGTATTTTGACGGACTTTAAATAATCTTTTAGTAGAGAATACGAACTGCCGCCAGAGTTGGATTGAATTGAAGAATAATCCATGGTTTTCTCGCTGCTGGACTATTCAGGAAGTTGCCTTTTCCAGAAACTGTGTTGTCAAATGGGGATCATTCTCTATTGGGTGGCAAAGTTTGTTTTTCGGTGTATTTATTATTGAAATTCGAGAAATCCGAATGCCTGCAGCTTGCATCAACACTGGTTGTTTTCCGGCTCTTGCTATTCGGGAAGAATCAAGATGGATGGTAAATCCGCAAGCTGTTCGATCAATTCGGCTTTTTAGATACACGTCACATTATCCTTCGCCAGAGTCACTTCATGTGGAAATAAATCTCCTATCATCGGCATTAGAGCATGATGCAACAATACCCTATGACAAAATATTTTCTATTTACCCCTTACTTCGACTGATGAATTTAGAGCTCCCTCAAATCACTTACGATAAACCTTTCGATATGCTATGCGAGGAATTGACTAGATGCTGGTTTTACTCAAAAAAGAATCTTAGTATCATTCTTCTAGCTGCTCGACTGCCTAATAGCGATTCACGTCTGCCCTCGTGGGTACCGGATTGGGAAAACCGACAGTCAGCGCTTGACTATAGACTAGCCATCCATAAACGGGAGGTTGACAAAACTCGGGGGGTGCCTGATGAGGGCGGTCGTGCCTCAAATGGCTCTTTGTTCGAAGATCCTCCTGAAGGAACAACCGGAGAACTTCACCTGCAAGGTCTAAGCCTGGGTCTTATTTTGCGTGCACTTGCTTGCGATATTCCAAATCATCTATCTTTTAAACAATCAGTATTCAAGGCTTTGAGGGTTTTTAGAACTTGGTATTGTGCTGTCGAAGCTTCATCTCTCTACGCTACGCACCAGGAATCTCAGAGCGCATTGCATTTTACAATACATACCTCAGTTCTTATTGATAAAGAGGAGCTGTATGTCCGCAAGGAAGTATTCGCGCTTCTGTATGACTAGACGCTTTATCCGAATTGTCAGGTTTTAGAGTTGTCACAGGCAAAAAAAGCTCACGAACTCTTTCTGGAGGCGGAAGGTGGAGACGAACTTTTGTGTCAGAAGGCTCTCTCCAAAATTGTCACTTTCTTGAGCACCCCCTCGATTGACAAAAAACTTTCCGCCTTGGATCCCCTTTCTAGTTCCAATTCTAAACCCTCGGTGGCTCTCGTTCATGAAGATTTCTACCTCGGAGTGATGAAACTCACAGCTATACTCATCCGAATTCAAAATCACTCTCTCCTTATTATTGACAATTGCTGCGGTTTGTCTGCCTACACAGCACAAGAAGGAGACGAAGTGTTTCTATTGAAAGGGCTAGACGTACCAGTCGTCTTACGACCCAATGGCGAAAACTACTCATTTGTTACTCCTTGTTCGTACATTCATGGAGTTATGGAAGGCCAAAAGTGGCCGGAAGACGAATCCGAGCTGCAAGATCTCGTTCTTGTCTAGGCTTGTTTTAGGATATAACGTTGAGTTTGAAGATATGATTCTACGAGTTTGAGATATGGTTTGGTACGACATTATCTTTTTAAGCGCGCGTTCTGGGATTATGGTTTATGTATAATGCGTGCGCATCAATATTGGAGTAATCTAATTTCTACTTTATTCCCATGCATGTCATTCTCATTTTGCAGAGTGCTATCACGGTTTCTCCAGACATAACGCCTCTTTCTCCACTAGTATTTCTACAATTTCACTAACCGAGAAACACACATTTCTCTTTTTTACGACATTATTCCAGTGATCGACGGAGGATTTGTGTTTTTTCAAATTCCTCAATCCAGACTCGCTTATTTCATTCATCCGAATGACACAACGAGAACACATTCTACTAGTGTACACTATATTCTTTTTCCTCTCCCCTCTCCTCTCTTTCGAATACCGCTTACTTTCTCTCCCTTGCTCTTTCTGTTCTCCAACATCTAGTATCTACATCCCTCTCCCCCACCAGCTTCCCCTAGTTCCTCATCAACTTGTCTCCGTCATCTAACCATTTATAAATGCTTCAACAAACTATCACATTTCTTTTGCAAATTAATGGTGTAGATTTTCTGAGTAGTGAACAACAGCAATGTATCCATACTATACCTCTCAACTTAAATAGCTGAAGTTCGCTTCGAATTCCTAGCCCCCATGCAAACACCAACCAAATTCACTAAGAAGATCTAAGCTACACTATATCATCTACCAACTTCTCAAAATCTCAAAACCTCATCTCATCGCTCTACCAACCTGAAACCTTCACAAAAACTACGTAGTAACCACGTCTCTAATGGCTTCTATCAGTTACTAGTTATCTACCGTCAAGTATCTATATATCTACATACCTGCACCTACACATACGCACCCGTACCTCAAACCAAACCAATCCAATCACTCGAATGGAGCCCATACCTGTGCAAAATAGAGAATTAAACACATGGGTAGATTTGTTGATGACGTATTACCAGGATCTATCTATCTATACATGCCTATATCTATCTACATATATCTACATATAAGCACACAATTAACACCAACTTCACAGCAATCAACTAATCTGAGTAACCAACTCAACTAACCGACTTACTTCCTTCTCTTCCTTCCCTTTCCCTGTATCCCCAAATCTCCATCCAAATTTTCCATTCCCATCTCCATCCAAATCACATTAAACATCAAACCAAACCAACAAGTATACTATAATATACTAGTTATCCACATCATAAAATTCACTACCCACCTACCTACTATTAGTTCGAGAAGAATACGAATGACATAGCACCTACAATCTATAGATCCTAAATATCAATATTGTATTCTATCTAAGAGCTAGCTATTCCAAGCTTGTACAGAAAACAGTAGGCCGTAAATAAGACTTACTGAAAGAGCTAGTCTCTTTCGTATTCGCTTGGTACACCTGCAGTGGCTATTGGATTGAAGTCGTTTATATATCTATCTATGTACCTAGCTATCTGTATAATAATGATATACTATATAGTGATATTATATTATAATATTCATTTAAATAAATAAATAAGATTTGATTTATCTCTCAATCCCTCAATCTCTCAATCCAACCACCATTTCCATCTTTACTCATTCCTTATATCATTATATTATATATAATGAATCAAGCTAGCTAGCTACTCCAGCTGTACTAGCCCCTACTAGCAAATACCCGTTCACACTCCTCTTTTAACTTTCTCCTCTCTCCCTCTCTCCTTCTCTCAAATAGTAAAAATTTCCTAGATCTCACATCACATCACATCACATTATATCACATCACACATAAAATACAAGCCTCCATCCCTCCCACACCTCAACCCAAATACCCACCTACTCCAAAAAAATCTCACCACATCACATCACATTACATCCAAACAAAGCACACAAAAGCACACAAAAAACACAAAGTAACAAACAATCCTCATACCCCTCAAAAAATCTCAAGTAAAAGTCATGCATACATGGTATCTACGATCTACGATCTAGCATAGCAATCAATCTATTTACACAATATGCATCTGTTCATTCATCCGTTCATCCATTCATTCGTCATACCCACCCCTATGTAACCAACCAACTGACCAGCTAACCAATTCATCCAAAAGCAAAAAGAGCAAAAAAAAAAAAAAACCCCCCCGCAAGCCGCCCACCAGCCACCCGCAATTCTTGCTACCCATATCTACCTATGCAAACAAAGCATACAATAATCGTCAATACATCGGGTATCGCGTGTAAAATCTAGATATCGATCGAGGATATGTACCCATCTATCTCTGTCTCCCAACGCTTAAATATGGACTTCCTTCTGCGCTCTATTTCCCAATCCCCCATTTCTCTTTCGTTTATTCTTGAGAATACTTTATGCTCTACACGGAATGTCGCTGTTTGCCCTGCTAGCAGACTCAAACTTGCAACCCCATTCGCAGCGAAGATGCATCGCGAATGATTGACTGTGACTAAACCCCCACCGCCGCCCTCGCCTCCCTAATAATCCTCTCCAAATTCTCACCCCCATCCTCCACCCTCACGGTCGTCGTGCGCTCAGGATGTTTTCCGCATCTACGCGGTTTACTTGGTTTACCCCTCCAACAACCATCTACACCCTCTCTACCCTTTCCTCCGAAATTTCCCTTCATCCCACAATATTCTCTCTGCAAGGGGCCCGTCTCCATAAATTCTCGAATGTGCATCCAGAGTTCGCAACGACCTTTGCCGCAATGCGTACACATATTCTCGGTGGATTTCGTGAATGCGTATTCGAGGTTATTGGGTCCGACGCGGCGGGTATTGAGAGGAAGCGCGGTGCCGTGTATGGCGCGGTAAATGAGATATGTATGGCGGGAAGTGAGAGCGAGACATGTGGCATCGATGGGGTCTAGATGGGAAAAGATTTCCAGCTTGAGTTCGTTTGGTAGGGTGGGCAGAGTAATTTTCTCGTCTTCTTCATCGACGGCTTCTTCGTCCTGTTCCTGCATTTCCAGAGCTTGAGAGAGAGATTGAGATGCTTGGAGAAGATGTGAAGGCATAGACATGGGTACGAGACTTAATCTTCTTGTGATTTCTGGACTGGGAATGATGGATAATCGGCGAGTCATCTCGGGGGTGACTTCAAATTTCCAGTCACTTTCTTCCTCTATATCTCCATCCATATCTCCATCCTCAAAATCTGAAGATGCTCCAGAAGAATTCTCAGTATCGGTATTAGGAAGACTCTCCAGATCTGCAGTCTGTGAAGCCGGGGAATCTAACCCTAGACCGGGAACAGATGAAGAAGTAGCCGTAGTAAATGGAGAAGAGGTCATGAGATCTCTCAACATGGATTCGAGACCCGTTTCAGAGGGATCAGGGTCCGAGCTTGTGGTTCCCCTTGGAGATGTGTGGGGAGACATGGTGAATTTTCTTGTGGGAAAGATGGGGTAATATGATGTGATGAATTTGATGGCTAGTTTGATCTAGAAATGATGTGTGGTTGTTTGTTATACAGATTTGTTTGATGAGGTTTCCAATCTTGTCAAGATGTCTATATAACTTGATTGAAGAGGATCGATGATTCACAAAGCGGTGTTGTCTAGTATTTGAGTCAGTAAAGAATCCAGTTTGTCCAGAGATTGACTCACTCTTCCTGCTAAATATCACTCCAGGGGCGACAATATCATCGATTCCTCTTTCGTATATGTATATATCTCGTGATACTCAACTCTCGTAATTCCTATTTTATATTGAAACTCTAAACTCGTAGTAATTTCCACAAAATATACTCTTTCTTGAATATACAGTCGTTCGTGGTACGATTCGTCGAGTGGTCCAACCTATACAACAAGTATATCCTCCTTTCGCATATAAAATTCCTCGCTTGAAATCCGTTTCGTCGTTTCGTCGTTCAATGGTCTAGTCGTCTTATCGTCAATGGTTTATTAATGGTATGTATACAATGAAGTTTGAGTTATCAAAAAAACCACCTCCAAAAACCAGACATGACCTAACTATTTAGTATCCGCCCACCCCGGAGTCTCTCACGCACCATTTGAGCCCGGAACCCTTTTACTATGAATCTAACCAGGACCCAACATCTGATTGACCACTAAGGACCCTTCTTGCGGTGAAAATCGGAGCTCCCATTTGCCTTCCAACCTTTTCTTCACCCAAGCCGACCCACTATTGATCTCACTAAAAGCGGATTGAAACCTCGATAACGTAATTGATCCGAGGCTTTGAAAGGGGAATCGTGGGATTTTTGAAGGGGATCCGTGACTCGGAAGTACATGATTCGATGATTAGGTAATCTCAGTGTTTCGATTCTGATTAGAATACCTAGTTGCGTAAGGGGTTAAGAAGAACCTTGAAACAATGATGTCAAAATCGCGTCTATTTTGGTATGTTATCTGCTGGCGATGAGGCAACAAAATTCTATATACTGTCCGGGTAGATAGAAGTAGATCATGTAAGGCAATGTAATGCAACTCCGATAATGTAAGGTAAAGAAGACTCACCGACTCTTTCCCGAGCTAATGATATGATACCATTCTTTCGGGATAGTATCGTACATATTGAAGGTGCAGGTGCTTCCAGTCTGCCGCCCAAAGTTACCCCGAAAACAGGATTAAAGATCACACCACCACAACTGAGAGGAGTGCCAAAAGAGCTACTTTCTTATCTTGTTGTCATGTAGACCAATCAACACAATCAGATCATACATCATGATGAGTAAGAGTACATCAGGCAATTTACCAGCCGATTCGATACTCACATCCAATACCACCTCAACATAACATGATCAAATGCTAAAAAGAAGAAGTGAAATGAATGAAATGGTACAATTGAATCGCATAAGCCGCCAAAGATCATCGAATTTACATCATATCAATCAAACTTGTCTCCTGCCAGGATTTCTTCCACTGACAACAGACGGTCGATCGAATCCCGTCACCTCAACTGCGACTGGGGCGCAAAGAGTGCAAATCATATACCCCATACCCCAAGCTCACAATGTATATCCCCCCTTCTTCCCCACACAAAGTCTGCAACCATTCCTCGATCATCTACTTTCGATATATTGTCCTTGACCATTATGTCCACCAAACGAATCAATCGTATTGATCAATCCCTTCTATCATCTAATCTCCATCTCCATCTCCACCCCATCTCATAACCTCTCACCCTACAACGCAATCCAAATAACACTGATAACCACATCCAGACCCTTATTCTCACCACCCTCATACTTAAAACTCCACATGCCATCCGTCTTCTCGTTCCAATAAGCTCCCGTCGCACTGTGCATTCCCCTCCTTCCTACGTGAGGTTTACCATCTGTACTCTTTGCATCTCCTTGTGCATCACTTGTTGTTACTTTCGCATCGTCTGTTGTGTCTTCTGTGGTTGTTGGAGGTGATGCTTTGGATTTGTTGAGTGAAGAGGTAGGTACTAGATGTTGAATGATGGTGGAATTGACTGCGTATTTGAAAGATGGGGAACCGCCAGTTGAAGGTGTAGATTCGGAGATGAGAGATTTAAGAATCGAGTTCTGTGGGAAGAAGTGGTTAGAGAGTTACTTATTGTGCTATCGCGGCTTTGTTGTCTTTGTAGGAGGAAGGGTTGTATACATACAATGATGGTAGTATTCCAAGATTCGGTCTTGCTGTGTTCATAGAACTCTGCACTTCCAAGTGCATTTTGACAGGCCTATGTTATCATTCTCAGTATGCCACCCAGTAAACAAACATCACCAACACAGTGTATGTTGGTAGGTATTTCACAAACTCACATCACTTGCGATTTGTCTCAATCTTGTGTATGAAATTGGCTAGATGATACAATCAGTCAAATCTTCTTTCACCTCCCCTCCCCTCCCCTCCCCTCCCAATTCAATCTCGCATAGAAACTTACAGGAGTGGCCATATTTGCTGTGTCTTTTGTATATGATGTAATAGTATAATAGTATATTACTCAAATGGTCTTGCGTTAAGAATCTCCAAAGTCAATGATGTTGTTGAATCTTTCTTTCCCTTTGTTTTCTTATGATTGCGAGGCTTAAGCTTTGATTTCCCTACCAGGCACGCCAGGGCAACACAACACAAACAAGGAGCTAGCTATCCGGTTTCCAGTGAACGTGTTGCATCACTGTTGATTGGTCAAGTGTGATAGTCCTAGAAAGCACCAAGCATTGACCAATAATATCACATCGGTAGAAACGTGTTAGAGAGTGGGGCCCATCTCATCTCATTTATGAAGAAAGTAAATGTGAAGGTTAGGTAACTTTCTGAATGATCTTCCAATGCACCTTCCAGCTTCCTTCATAATTCCACAACTTCCGAATCAGTGAAAGAGTTTTCGCTCACGGAGTCTACGAGATCAAGTACGAATCACTGCCACCAAGAAGACGACTTTGTAAAGCGACGTTACTTATACCATCTTGTAATACGGTTTTCTGTCGAAACAATTAATCGGGTGTCTTAAACATTTCATCCTTATCGTCATACCTCATACACACAATCCGCAAGCAAAATCTCATTCTACTCAAGATGTCGAGTCAACCACTCCTTCAAACTGCGCCTGGTTAGTCCTTTCAATTCCCATCTCTCCAAGGAAGTTCCGCAAGATGCATACGCTTCAAGCTCCCGCAAGCTCCAACTTTTTTCCATCTATCCCCAACTCCAACCCCAACTCCAATTCCACTCTTCAACTCTCACCCAACCTCCTTAAACTAACCTCTCCCCTCTCACAGGAAAACGCATCGCCCTTCCCACGCGCGTCGAACCCAAAGTCTTCTTCGCCAACGAGCGCACCTTTCTCTCCTGGCTCAACTTCACCGTCATCCTCGGCGCTCTCGCAATCGGCATGTTGAATTTTGGCGATCGTCCCGCCTTCATCTCCGCTTCCATCTTCACAGTCATCTCCATGTTGACAATGGGGTATGCGTTGTACACGTACCATTGGCGTGCAAAGAGTATCAGGTTGAGAGGACAAGGAGGCTTTGATGATCGGGTTGGTCCGACTGTGTTGGCTTTGGTCTTGTTGTTGGCAGTGGTGGTGAACTTTATTTTGAGAATTGTTTACGGAAGGGATTGAATAGGAGGAGAGCGGAGAAAGATGGAGGGGAAGTGAGAATTATGAGAAAGGGGGAAGCTTATAGTTGTGGTTGGAAAGGGGATAGATAGTGAGGGATTTGAGCAAGCGAGAATACGGGGGAGACGATGGGATGAGAGTCGAGGACATGTTACTGATGAAGGAGAGCGTCGCAATTGGGAGTTGATATATAATTATCACTGCCAGACCAGCAGTATATCAACTGCATGTAAGTATATTGGACTTTCGCAGGAACATGTAGTTAGTTATTGAACTGAGAGCGAGTTTATTTAGATTGGGAAAGCTGGAAGTAATTACATCACTAAATAGTGATGACTAGTCGTAGCTAGTCGTAGCTGTCATGTCATATATATGTATTTATATTTTTGGGTTTGAATTAGCACGCTGGGCTAAAGCTTCTATCTCATGTATTGGTGCATCGCTGAGTGTGCACTGATTTGTATGCACTCCCGCTGATATTACTACCATCTTGCTACCCTTGAAAGCAAGTATTGGGGTATCTCCATCTATAAATATTTCTTCCCGGGTCCATTAAACGCCAAGTCCCTTTTCAATTACGTTCCATCCATTCGTTCATAGTATAATACGCTCTCTTTCTCTTCTAGCTATGCGATAGCTCGATCAAGTTAAGGCATTAGTTTGCTCTCTAAGAATTTGGATTAGTTACCATACGTTGCGAATGCGGTTCAGATGAAGCCGTTATACATACCCATACATCTTCTTCAAGCTTTCGATTCTAACTCGAGACAGATAGAGAGTAAACGTAGGCACAGCTCGAATCTTAGGTCTATTTTCTGCTTCGAGTGCTCTCTCGAAGGGAGTTTTCATGGTCTCAAAAGCTCCCTCCTCCTCTTCGTCTCCCCCGTCCTTCATCTCTGTATCCCCATCTTTCTCGTCTCCAGTCTTCTCAGCTTCTGCAGTATTACTCGGGACGGTAGCAGTTAACTCTCCAACAACGTTATATTGAAACCACTTCGCGCCAGTCTTCGCCAATTCCCGCTTAGCTATCTCTGCAATCGTAATGAGTTTGCCCGCGACAGGTGCTTTGGCAGATAAAAGCACAACGTGGGGTGCTGGATCCGAGAAGGAAAAGGTACTGAGGATCGAGAGGATACGCGAGGCTTTCTTTTGGATCTGCGAGGAGGAAAGGATGGACAATTCGGTTGTTCGATGGGTGTGAGTTAGATCATGAGGGGCAGGGATTTGACGCTGCCCTCCGAGTATGGAGGGTGCTGTGGTGAATGGGGCGGAAGAGGAAGCGTCATTCTGTACTCGATCTTGAGCGTCGGGAGCAACAGAAGGAGATTGATGAGAAGATAACTTGGCAACAGTTGTAGTTGCTCTTGCTTTTTTCGAGGGCCGATCTTGTTCCTGAAAGATGGAGGGGAAATTTCCTTTGTCTCTTGAGGCACCCTCTGCTAGTTCGCGTTTGCGCTTTTGATTCTCTCGAAAATCATGCCCCGCTTCGCCTCTGCGAGCTGCACCCTTGGTTCGTGCCATTTTGTCCTTGCAGGTATTGAGGTTTGAAGTCGTGCTGTGCTATATCTTTGAGTATGACGATTGAGGTGAACGTTCCAAGCTTGCAAGATGAGAAAAAGTATGGTAGCTTGGAGATATAGTCAAGGGATGAATGTGAGGTTCGCTAATGGAATGAAAACAAACCATGTAATAAAGAGTGAAGATATTATTTGTTTACCTTTCGAGAGAAGACTCTGGAAATATCACCTCGACATCTTGAGAGAACTCAAATTGAAGCATTATCCAGCCTTGGGTAAATTTTGGGCAGCGTTTGGAGAGCATCGGAGGTCGGAAGATTTTAATGAACCAATCAAAAGTCTAGAGTTGAGCATTTCACTCGCAGTCTAGCAGAGCGGCCGCATCCGCCGCGTCTTCATAGTTTCTAGACCCAGAGAGACTTCTCAATAGAAATAAATTCCCGTCATTCATAAGGTATTGAAACTTATCAATTATGTTGTATTCCTTCATCCCTTCATCTCTTCATCTTCATCATACAAAGTGCTGACAAGAATCTTCTTTGTACAGGAACCCGAAATTCATCGGGAAGTCCACAACTGTTTGTCCTGCAGATGTTGTAGAATCGTCCTACAAGGCTAGGCAAAATATCCCGATTCGTTGGGTTCGCAGTGACATTGTCCTGTCATGAAGAGGCGTATCATTTCTTCACACCGAGTATTACATGGATAAAAGCTATAGATTAGTTTGGTCTTTATCACCATCGGCGCTTGGTCAATATTGAATAGATAAGCACTTAAGCTTTCTCCCCTCATCAAAAAGACGAGTGGGGGTATTCTCACGGCATTGTCTCATGGATCATTTACTCCCGTTTCATATCTATAGCCTCGAAACCCTTATCTTGTATGTTGTGTGTTTACGAAAGTCTCGAATGTCTTCTCTTTCTATTGCTCTTTTGTTTCGTTTCGTTTTGTTGTGTGTTTAAGGCTACGCAAATGTCACTGTCACAAGCCTTGTGCATATCTGCCGGTAAATGGTGTACAGTATCAAGCACGATGCAGGAAGGCATTACGAAAGATTCCCCATGGAACCAAAAATGCGCAGCCTCCCGAAGAGGTTGATGTTCGATACACATCTAATAAAATCAAACAAGGGTGGTTGCCCAAGATAGTCTCAGATACAGCCGTTTGACTGGACCTTTCGGGAGCATCCACGCCTCTTTGCCCTGGTCTTAATTAAACCGTCAAGCCTAGACGAGCAAATATCAAGAAAAACGAGGGCGCAAAGTAAGCAAAGAGTGTGTGGTCGTATCGGATATCTATTTGAGAAGTTTCTACGATATGATAGGAATGTAGGTTTATCCACGCGGCCTTCTTTCTTGTCTATTCGGGGATTCATGGGATTATTGCCCAAGTACCTTTTGCAGACGACGCACGGTTGTTAATGAAATGATTCTAATTTTGATATAAATCTGGGGCAGCCTTTTCAATATCCTTGGCTTGCACTATTAGCATATGGTCGAGAACTTTATGAGTCAGTTTTAGAATAGTGGAAAAGTAACCCCCTCCAAAGCTCAAAATGAACTAGGTTCAAGTACGTATGAAGTGTATACGCATTAAGCAGCGACCGAGTACGTGAATGATGTGTAGACATGTTGATGAAGTGGAAATGGCTTCAACACCGCAACATACATAAGAAACACATCACACCTAGTGGATTCCTCCCTTCATTTATATACCTAGGAGGTCGATTTCACATGTGCTTCACCTCTACTTCCTCTCCCCTTTTTCCATGTATGATCTACTTTTGGCATCATGCGATACATGGATGAAGTAGTACATCCCTCTTATTATCCATACATTTCGTGGGTCCAACATCTTGCATACGAAGATGGACATCGTCAAAATGGGTCGTCCATGGAATAAAAGAAGGGATTGAGAATAGAAGATTATCCTTGAATAGTTTAGGTTGGAAGTACAATGGGCAGTAGCCGGGATTACTTATCTTCTTACCCAATGATCTTTCTTTATTTGTCCATTCCAAGATATTCCCCAAGCAATAATAAGACTCTAATCCCCGTCGTCATCCTTGCCACTCGGATTGTAATGTCGCATAAAAAACGACGCTTAAATTAATTATTCACGGGCATTACGGGTGGTAGTCTGGGAGACATGGTGAGCATTATTCTTTTTATGGGTCTGCTGGGAACGAATTGGCTTGTCTGGAGCGAAGGTTGAATTGTATGTACTATGGAGTGAGTGAGAGTTGAGTGATGGATGAGTGATGGATGGATGGATGGAGTGATGAGCGATGAGTGATAATCGAATGGAAAAAGAAAAGAGGGTCTTTGACCTCTTCCAGTGTAATCCGACTTCCCTACCTAGGTAGTCGAGTAGTAAGTAGTAGGTCGTAGTAGGTAATAGGTAATAGGTATGCAACAACACTTTTCCAACTTCAACCACTCAGCCAGGAATGAAAAGTTAGAAGTCTCATAGGCTTTCCCGTCCGTCCCTGATTAACGATTCTCCCTAGGTAATAAACAAACAAGCACTGATTCTTTGAATTTCTTATTATTCTAAGCCACCAACGAACACTTCTTCAACTTTTACCAAACACCTTTTGGATTTTATTTCCAGATTGGAAAAATACCATTTACATCTTCCAGCTTTCAACCCCCAAAACAAGCAAGCAAGCAAGCAAAAAACAAGCAAAACCAAACCACCACACCGTACTACAAAATCTTACTCCGGATTTCCAACAATACTACCTATCCCATACAATACTACGGATACGATACGGAGTGTACTCAACGAAACATATTGAAAACAAGTTACAACCTCATTTCTTCGCCATTCATATACGTACAACGTGATTTTATAAAATACCTTTTTTTTATAATTCACTCTTCGACATTCTTCTCTGTTATTTTACTTCAAGTGTTTTATTCTATTTGGAAATTCATTTGTAACGACAGAACCCAAAGCCAAGGAAACGAACCAAAATCATTCGACTTTCCCTTTCCCGCCGCTTTGTTTTACCTATCTATCGACCTGCCTAGGTATACTTGTTGTATTGTACTGTACCTACCTACGTACCTACTTCTTTTACCGCTTGTCTGTTTCGACATACGACATACCGGTACCATCCATCACTTCATTCACACTTCTTATTACTTCATTTATTGTTAGAGAGTGCAAGGGCCATCTCACCATTCACCCATCCAATCATTCATTCATCGATTCATCCATCCACCCATCTATCCACTCACCCACTCAACCACTCGAGCCACTCTACCCACCACACCCGTTGATTATTGATTGATAAGTGTACACCACCACCACCAAAACCACTCACGTACCAACGAAAGCAAACGAAAGGACCAAGGAACGAATCAACGAGCCAACGAACAATCGACTCTTATCGCCTCCTTCACGGCTCTTCCCTACTTTGTCCATTACATTATTTATCACCTTACTAGATACCGACCACCATCCACCCACTCCACCAGCCGACCTTACCTACTTTTATCCAAAATCAATACGTCGACTCCTTTCAAATTCCTAATATCCCTCCCTCTCGCTCAACGCACCCCCCATTGGAACTTCGCATCTCTCATACCTTACGACCTACCACCTTACTACACACCTTTTTACTACCTACGGTCGCAACATTTCAATCAAGACAAACCTTTCTACCCAACGACCACCACAACATAACTTTCCCTTCAAATTCAAATTCAAAATCAATCACGACAAAGCCAAAAATTCATACGGCATAATTTCAATTCTCACGCCAATCCCTCTTTTTATTTTACAATTTATTTTACAATTTATTTTACACAATAAACTTTTGTAATTGATTTCAATTTTCGACCTTGCTTGTACATCTTATTAGACT